TTCACCCTCACTTCCTCAGGTATGTGTTTGTCTAACGCCACAGGTTATATGTAGTTTGTTAAAATATGCCAGAACTTTCTGGAGAATGGCCGATGATAGATTGATTAATTAATTAAGCTCTGCTTCTCAAAATGTTGTCCATGAAGGTCTGTGTTATGGGTTGAACTGAGTCCCCATAAAGGATGCTGGGGTCCTAACCCCCAGGCCCTGTCAACGTGACCTTCCTTGGAAATGGGGTTATTTGCAGATAATTGGGTTAATATGAGGTCGCAAGGGTGGACCTTCATCCAATATGACTGATATCCTTATAAAAAGGGGAAATCTGGACACGTAGACAGATGCCCACGCAGGAGAGCACCACGTGAAGGTTGGAGTTCCATTGCCCCGAGTCAAGGCACTACAGGGAACTAGAAGGAGGCCCGGCACAGATTCTGCCCTAGAGCCTTCAGAAGGAACACGGCCCTGCTGACACCTTAGTCTTGGACTTCTGGCTTCCAGAGCTGTGAGGCGATACATTTCTGCTCTTCGACTCGATCAGACTGTGGTATTTTGTTATAGCAGCAACCGTAGGAAACTAAGACGCTATTCAAAATTGTTTTAGTTGATGCACTAAAATTTTGTTCAGCTTGGAGAATATTAACAGTTATATGCTGACATCAATGAGAATTAGAAAAAAAAAGTATCTCCTGTGACTCAGTTCTGTGATTTCAGGCTTGTTTTCGGTTCGGACCGGCCCGACGTGGGTACGTCGTAAGCGAGTCACATTTTAGCGGGCACGCGAGGGGCCATGCGGTGGCGTGGCTAAGAAAACAGACTCTGAAGCCAGGTTTTCAAGCACTGGTTTCGCCGCTCGCTGGCTGTGTGACTTTGGACAGACTCCTCAACCTCTCTGTGCCTTGGTCTCCTCTGTGAAATGGTGTTGCTAACAGCATCCGCCGCCCGGGGTGGTTTAGATGATTACACGCAAGATGACATGCGTGTTGTAAAACATGCCGCTTTCGGTTCAGTGCTTGGTAAATGCCGGCTTTTCGCTTTATTACCCAGACGCGGGACATCTAGTGATCGCAGCGCACGCATGAGGGAGGGGAGTCCCAGTGAGCTCAGCAGGACGGACCAGACTTTTGTCTCCTGAAGCTGCGGTTAACGGAGCCAGTTTGGGTGTCGGAGAAACAGCATCACGCGGGATTTACCATCTGCACCCTCCACGTGCTGTTGGCCCTCCAAGAGCTGACGGGGCCCTTATCTCGTCCCCTGGCCCCCCCCCCCCTCCTTCCCAGCTTCTTGGTCCTTCATCCAACCAAAGCAGATAGATCCAAAACTCACCACGTTTGTCTGACATCTTACATGTTACATCTGACTCTTCACCCCTGTCGACTACATCTCGAAAGACCTATTTACAAATATGGCCTCTCCAACCCTATCGGCGGCTGTGACCTTGGCATGCCCTTGTCAACATATCACTTCTGCAGTGATTCCCTTTCCACGTCTACCTTCCTCGGGTCCCCCCAGTGCAAGCATCTTTCTAGGCTCTGGCTTTTGCCAAGAAGTCCCAGGAGCCAGTTTGGTCCTAACTCTGCCCACTGGATTCTGGCTCTTCGTGTGGGTAGGACGCAGACAACTCCACCACCCGCAGCCTCTGTCTGGTTGTGGTTCGGGGTCACTCCCGCTGAGGCAGGACGCAGATCAGACCCAGCCTTCCTGCAGTGGGCTTAGCACTGAATACTACCTGTCCAGATCCAGCGGCCTGGCTTACTTGGGTCTCCCTTGCTCCCTTGCTAGATCTCAGGACCTGCACCAGCCAAGTGACAAGCCAGGGAGTCCCCCATCACTGCCGAGTCTCGGCTCTGCCGTCCTCTCACAGCAGGCTCCCCACCGCCCAGCTCCTTGCCCTTGGTTGTTCAGGATAAATGGCACAACTAGTCTTATATGCTTACAACAGACTCCTCGGTTGCTGTCAGGAATCCGGCCACTGGTAAGACTCAGAGACGAGCCACCACCTTCCCCATCCTCTAGTCCCACATCCACCCTGGCTCCCGACAAGCCACACTCCATGTGGCAGCCACAGGGACCTTGTTCCAATATAAAGCAGGTCAGTGCCAAGTCCCTCCCCCGGCCCCTGCTCACCTCTGTGACCCCTCACCCGCCACGCTCTGGCCTCCAGCCTTCTTTCTTATTCTTGAGCCAACTGAGCAGCTCTTTCCTACCTCAGGGCCTTTGCACAGGCTTTCCCTTCTGCAAAGGGCTAGTCCTTGACCTCATCCAGGTCTCAGCTCGTGTCCCCCCTCCTTGGAGAGGCCTCCTCTGACCACGCTGCCAGCCTTGGTGCAGTTGCTGTCTTGGTGGTAGCTGTTACCACCCATCTTCGTGTTTGTTATCTAGCCCTGCCCGCCGAAATATCAACACCAAGAGAGCAGGAAAAGTGTGTTGCTCACTGGATCACCAGGCCTGGATCAGGGGCCGGCACATAGCAGGTGCTCAGCACACAGGTTTCTGGTGAGGTCAAAAAGACAACAGATGACCTGCCGCCTTACCCAGAACCCCATCTGGGGCTGGGCTGGACTGGACTGGAGCATGCCCCTGACCTGCAGCCCCAGGCCTGGGCCCCACGGCCCAGCCTCCCCTGCTGGCCTGGCCCATGGCCCAGGGCACATTCCCAGGATGCTTGCTGCGAGCTCCGCCTACTGTCCTGACCCCCCAACCCAGGGCTCCTGTGCTGTAACACTACCTGAGTCACCACCAGGCTTGTCAGGGCCCACCCCCAGGTGCCTGCAAGGCCGCCAGCCGGGGTGGGGGGAGGGGGGAAGGGGGAGGAGCAGCCCGGCACAGCCATCCAGAGCACGAGCCCTGGAGCCTGGGTGTGAATCGTGGCTTTGCTGTCCTGTTACTCCAGGCAAGTAACTTCCACGTTCTCAACCTTGGTTTTCCCACCTGTGAAATGGGAGAAGGGGGTAGCACTATCCAGAGGGATTTCCTGGAATTTGCTGCCTGGCACCCACTGCCTCTGCCTCCGGGGACAGCACCAGTGTCTGCTTCACAGAACCACCCCGACTCAAGCCGGGAGCGACAGCAGCTCCAAGGCTTTGCTGGCCTCGGTGGAACAGTGCCTGATGGCCCTGCCGAGCACTTGTTCTCGGCCAGGTGACCCTCTAAGTGGCCTATCTCTCCAGCTCTTTGATCCTGATAGCAACCAGGATCTTGGGGGGGTCTTGGGGGGGGTTCTTCTTCTCCCTGTTTGCAGATCGAAGAATGAGGCCCAGAGAGGTTAAGTAACCTGCCCGAGGTCACAGAGCTAGTGGGTGGTCAGGCTTGCTTTCTGCCAGTGTTGCTGGGCTACGGGCAGCTGGTGGCCATCTCACCACCCTTAAGAGCCTGCCCAGGCACAACGGGCACAAAGAACGTTGAAGTGGAAGATGGGCAGAGGCAGGCTGCTGCTTTTAATCACCCGGATCCAGCTGTGCCTAAAAATCCCACCACCGTCGGACTTTTTAACTACACGGGTTGATGCGGACTCTTTCCCTCAAAGACGCTTTTTCAAAATCACGTTGCTACCTAAAATGCCTTGCTCTGTATTCATGTGGGTTTCGGGCTGTGGTAAGAATTAATCAGATAATGCCTGGGTGCAGCCCTGCCCACGGCCCCTCAGCCAAACCTCTGCCCACAGCTCCGGTGCAGGGCTCCCCCGGCACCGGGGAGGGGTATGTAAGAACCTGGCTCCCTTGCTCCAGGGTGGGGAGCGGAGGTAGAACGTGGATGTCCAGCCCTGCCTGCCCAGAATCCCCCAGCCGGGAGGTGTTCCACTTGCCCAGGGAACTTGTGTGGCATCCCCAATGTGGACGGAATGCCACAGCGACAGAGATCAGGGCCCCTGGCTCAGACAGACTGCTTGTTTAAGCAAGGCTGGCGGGCTGGAGCTGGATTTTGCCCGGGACACCCCAGGGTTCCAAATCCTGGGGACACCAGGATGCCTTGAATTCTCTGGCATTCACAGAATGCCAGAAACCAGAAGCAAGTGGCTTCCTCAGAGCCCCTCCACCGGGGCTTGGGGCCTACACTGGCCACTTCCCAGCCGTGTGACTGATCGCCTGCTCTGGGCCTCAGCCCCTCCTCTGTGAAATGGGGACAATCTGTGGGCCTCCCTCAGAGGCTATGTATAAGGATCATAATTTATTACGAATGACATAACAAAGCTGACAGCGGTGGCCGGCTCACAGGAAGTGTTCAATGAACGTGACCTCTCGTCTCCATTAGAAGAGCAACAGGCTGACTTCACCATAACCTCTTTTGTACTATTGGAATTTAGTACCATTGGCGCGTATCATGATCCATATAAAGTAGAAAATAACAACAATTTAAAAGCAAAACCAAAACTGAAATAGGTTTTCTACTAGAACCGCATCTTGGTTATAGAGTGAGCAAGTGACTGTGATGGTCGACTTAATGTGTCTATTTAACTGGGCCACAGGGAGCCCAGATATTTCGTTAGACACTACTCTGGTTTCCGAAAGGCGTTTTGGGATGAGGTTAACGTTTCAGTTGGAGAATGAAGCAGATTACCCTCCATGATGTGGGTGGGCCCCATCCAATCAGTTGAGGGGCCTGGACTGAACAAAAAGGACTTACCCTCTCCCAAGTAAGAGAGAATTCTCCAGAAGGCGGCCTCTGGACTTCATCGGCAACTTCGACCCTTCCGGTGCGATGGCCTGTGTACTGGAAGACTGGCTCTTCCTGGTTCTGCTAAGCCAGCCTGCATATTGGACTTTGGCACACACACACACACACACACACACACACACTCTCTCTCTCTCTCTCTCTCTCTCTCTCTCTCTCTCTCTCTCTCGGTTCTGTTTCTCTGGAGACCTTGACTAACAACACAATTAGGAAAGGTGAGCTCAGGCCTTGACAAAGAGGGTAACACAGCCAAGACTGCTCTATCACGGCATCCCAGTGAGAGTGCCCCAGGCCCAGCCCCAGTCCTGCTCAGAGGCTGCCAGAACTCTTACTTGAACATGCCTTCTCCTGGTCTGGGAACACAGCAGAGGGCTGGGGGTTCAGGTTCAACTCAGGTCTGCTGGGAATGAAAACCTCAGCGTTGTCCTTCCGCTTAGCAGACAAATTCCTCTCCTTCTTACTACCTGCAGGAAAACAGCGGTTTATATGTCAAACGTGGAGCGCTAGCAGAGCGGGGGCATGCTGCTTGGGTATCTGTTGGTTCGTTCGCTTATTCACTCGACAAATACTTGCTGAACCCCTACCCTGTGCCAGGCGCCACGCTAGTTTGGAATGGAGATGTGAATTATGCGGCGCATCCTGGCAAATAAATGAAACTTTCTAGGACACGTTCTAGGTGTAGGTTTTCAGATTTTAACATTTCTGGGACAGAAGAAGGTTCCAGCACCAGGGTCACAGAGGGGCCACGCAGCTGGGAGCATGTGGCCGGCAGGCATGCAGCTGACAGAGAGGAGAGCCCTGACAGGTTACCAGAGGCACGGAGATGGGGCATTCCAGACACAGGGAACAGAATGTGCAAACAGTGAAAGGCACACAGGCCGTGCTTTGAAGTCAACGTTTCCCAAAGTAGGGTGCCTGTACCGCGGGCAGAACAGGAAACGATGCCAGAGGCCGTGCAGGCAAATGTGTTTTTTTTTGTTTTTTTTTTAAATTTTTTTTTTCAACGTTTATTTATTTTTGGGACAGAGAGAGACAGAGCATGAACGGGGGAGGGGCAGAGAGAGAGGGAGACACAGAATCGGAAACAGGCTCCAGGCTCTGAGCCATCAGCCCAGAGCCTGACGCGGGGCTCGAACTCACGGAGCGCGAGATCGTGACCTGGCTGAAGTCGGACGCTTAACCGACTGCGCCACCCAGGCGCCCCAGGCAAATGTTTTTTAAGCGATTATTTAACTGAACCTGCATGGAAAAAAACATGTAGCCAGCCTATCGACCGCTTGATTTCATTAATATCATTGCTTAGAACAATCTGAAAATCATTAAAGAGAGGAAAGAAAGAGAAAGGAAGGGCAGGGCGAAGAAACAGAGGGAGATGGAGAAAGAAAAGAAAGGTGCTGATTTAAACAACAGCTAAAACAGTACAGGAGGTTTGTGGCAATGGCAAAAAACAAACAAACAAAAACACACAAAAAACCAAAAACCAAAAACCAAAAAACCCCCCTGTGACTTCAGAAGGTCTGCAAATGGCTCCAGCTCAGGGGAAGTGGCGCTAAGAGCCTCTGTCCAGCGCAGGTTTCAGAGCTCGAGAGGACGTGCTTGGGACCAGCGGGCAGAAGGCCAGCTTTGCAGGCCAGCAAGGCTGGCGGCTGAGGAGAACAGACCCTGCCGGCAGGGAGATCAGTCAAGGTCCCAGGATTCGGGACTTCCTGACCTGGGAAGACAGGAAACCCGGGAACTGTCGGCTGAAGTGCCATGTAATCAGAGTCCCAGCAGAGCGATCCCGGGGGCCTCGGGGGGCCCAGAGGAGAGGGAGTCCCAGAATCCAGGGCCCCATGGGATTGTTGGGAGCTCAGAAGGTGCGGGGTGTCCTGCACCAACCTCTCCACCCTTCGCTGCGGACTTGATGAAGGACATGTGTTTCTCTATACACTTCTGAACTCGCTGTTCCCTGGCTGGCCTGAAATGCAGGACCCAACGGATGACATTCAGGACAGGGCACAAGACAAAGAAGGGACGGGGCAAATGACCACAAGACTCTCTCCCCACATGCCAAAAATATGCAGCTGCTGCTAACAGCGACAGCCAGCACTGATTGAGGTCAGGCCCCTGAGTGCTCAGCTGCGGGGACAGGTCCCTCCCCAGACATCGCAGGGGGTGGATGGGAGGCGCCCAAAGATGCCTTGACACAAGGTCACAGGGCAACCTGTGGGTCCAACCCAGTGGGTCCTTAAAAGTAGAAGAGGGACAGAGTTTCAGTTTGGAACGATGAAAAACTTGTGGAGCTAGATCGTGGTCATGGTGACTGTCCTTAATAACACCAAATGGTGCTCTTAATGGTGAGTATGGTAAATCTGTGCCGTGTGTACCTGACCACAATAAACCAAACCCAAGCACTCGCACAGGCACAGAGAAGAGGGTGGCACACAAGGAGGGCGAGAGGGAGACAGGATCTGGAAGAAAGGTTAGGAGAGACTTGACCTTGCTGGCTCTGGAGGTGGAGGGAGGGACCCTGAGCCAAGGAATGCAGAAGCCTCTGGAAGCTGGAAAAGGCAAGAGAGGTTGTCCCCGAGAGCCTCCAGAAAGCTCACAGCCTTGCGGATACCGTGGTTTTAGCCCAGTGAGCTGATGTCAAACTTCTGGCCTATAGAACTATAAGACAATAAATCTGTGTTGTGTCGGGCCACGGAGTTCGTCATGATTTGTTACAGCAGTGACAGAGGACTAATACATACTATTACAGAATAGGGCTCTGAGGTTCAGGTTGTTGGCCCAAGGTCACAGAGCCAGGGAGCGATGGAAGCAGGTTTTCACCAGGCCTGCCTGGCTTGGAGCCCTGCCCTGAACCACGTTAATCCCTGTCTACCACCACCTCCTCTGGATAAGATGACCTTCCAGAAACTGTGGCCCCCAGGCCTGCCTTATCTATCGAAAGTCTACATGAGGATATTTTCTAGGGCTCCAAAGGATCCAGAACCCCCTTGAGTCTTCATGGAAGGTGGCCTGGGACCCCCACCAGCCTCCTCATGAACCTCGCTCCCCACATGCTCGCTTGGCTCCAGCCGCACTGGCCCTTTGTCTGTCCTCGGGTGTGCCAAGTTCGTTCCCTCTTCGAACCCTTTGCACCTGCTACCCCCTGCCCCTGGAATGCTGTTCCCACGGCTGCTCCCTCCTCATTCCCGTCCCAGCTTCACCACGGTCTCCTCTGAGAAGGCTCCTCTGACCCTTCCAGCCCGCAAGGTCCTTCTCTGACCCCCAGCCCCCAACCAGAGTCCTGTCTTATAATCTTGACAACATTCCAGGCTCTTGAGGGCACCGTGCTCTCCTCCTACCTGAATTCTTAAGCTGGCCCATGATTTGGCCTCACCTTTCCAGTTTGGGGAAAAACAACTTCTGTTTTTCTCTGTGCCACTCCCGCGCTGGCCCTCACGGACAAGAGGACACGTGGAACGGGACAGGGAGGGCAGGAAGCCATCAGAGCTCAACCCAGCCACTCTCTTCGTTCCTCCAGTGGGCTCACCTTCAGGGCACATGCGCCCCACTCCCCCGCCCCCGCCATCACACTGGTGCCATTAGTTGTCCAGCTCTGCCAACATCTGGGATCAGGGTCTGTCTACTTTAGCGGGCAGCACTGAGTGGCCAGCAATGAGGCTCTTCTCAGTTGGAAAGGTGGATCATTTGCTCTCCTTCTAGCAGACTCCCAAACCCATCTCTCATTTGTTTCAATTAGGAGGGAAAAGAGGGCTTTGACTCCTCAAAGCCCAACTACTGCTTTATAACTTGATCTGGTTTATTTATTTAGCCTAGTGATTAAGAGCTCAGGCTCTGGGCTCTGACGCCTACAGACTCAACCCCACTCTGCCCCTCCCTAGCTGCGTGACCTCGGGCAAGTGATCTGACCGCTCGTGCTTCCGTTTCCCCATCGGTAAAGCAGGTACAATGCCAGGACTGGCCTTGGTGTTGTGGTAAGGACTTCGCGTCCTTGGAACAGTGCTTGGCACACGTTAGTAAGAATTCTGCAAATGCTGGCAGTTGTTATCACTGTGGGGTGTGTGTGTGTGTGTGTGTGTGTGTGTGTGTGTGTGTGTTCTCCTTGCTAGGATTAAGGGCCACGGGAGAAGGGACCGGGGCCTCTTTTGTTCCAGCACATTGCCTGGGGCGTGATATGCGTCCAGTGAAAAAAAAGGAACGAACAGCCCAGAACCAAGCACATCTTTTCCGGACACTATTGACTAGTTTTGAGTAAATGCTCGGGATTAGTTCAGAACTCCAATCCCACGCTGGGGTCTGGGGGACCCTGCGACAGGCCCCTCAACCTCCGTCTGCTCCTCTCTGTGAGTGGGTTCTCCTGCTGGGGAATCACTAGGGAGAATCACTAGGGAGAACATCCCTAGGAGGCAGGCATCAGCCCTCTGTGGCTCCAGATGAAGCAGCCCCCGCCCACGGTAGACATCGCTGCGGCCAGCGAGGGGCCTGCCAAACAATCTAATTGTTCGAAAACGCCAAATGTCAAGAGAGTGAAGTTCTCTCTCTTTTTGTTTCACGCTCCAGCATCACTCGCAAAACGGTGCCGGGGGTCCAGCTGTCTGTGGCCTGGTCCTTCACCCCACAAGTGACTATCATGCCCTCTGTTTCCAGGACAGGGGGGCTCGCTCAGTCTCCTTACAGCCCTCCCCCTCCCTCCTCACTCCTTGGAGAAAACGCAAGCCACTGGTCGCGGCCCCAGCGCGTCTCACGAGTATGTTAACATTTCCCCCACCGCGGGGTACTCCAGCGGGTGGGCATAAAGCTTTCATGCGTTTGACACCAATTTCCTGGGTGGCTTGAACGTGCCAGATGAGTGCTGTCCGCTGGGGAGGCAACGGAGGGGAAGCGCTGGTCTGTGCCCTGGCAGAGCTCACAGGCCAGAGGGGGAGAGAGACCCCTGGGAGTCCGGGGCAAGGCCAGCACCATGATGACATATATGGGAGCAGAGAAGGCACTGAGCTACCTGGCTGGGCCAGGAGGGCAAAGGAGGCTTCCTGGAAGAAGCAGCCCCGGAGCTGAGTCTTGAGGGGAAAGCAGGGAGCCAGGTTTCAGGCTTCGGGGTGGAAGGAAGATGTGGTAATCTAGACAGAGGGAGCGGCCCAAGCAAAGGTTTGGAGGTGAGAGCACACAATGAGAGCACACCTGAGGGACAAATGTTCGCTCTCTGGAAGCAACAACCACCAGGTGTGGGTTTTTCCAGGGCTGCCTGTTACCATGTCTCCCCAAAACTCATATGTTCAAGGGGCGCCTGGGTGCTTCGAGTGGGTTAAGCGTCTGACTCCTGGATTCGGCTCAGGGCACGATCTCACGGTTCATGAGTCTGAGCCCTGCTTTGGGCTCTGCGCTGAGAGCGCGGAGCCTGGTTGGGATTCTCGCTCTCCCTCTCTCTCTCTGCCTCTCCCCTGGTCTCTCTCTCCCTCTCTCTCTCTGCCTCTCCCCTGGTCTCTCTCTCCCTCCCTCTCTCTCTCTCTCTCAAAAACTAATTAATTAATTAATTAATTAAAAGAAAAAGCAACAACTCATATGTTCAAGTCCTAATCCCCAGGACCTCAGACTGTGACTGTATTTGGAGACAGTGTCTCTAAAGGGGTTATTAAAGAAAAATGAGTCGCTTAGGGTGGGCACTAATCCAATCTGCCTGGTGTTCTTGTAAGAAGAAGAGATGAGGACACACAGGCACACACAGTGGGCAGACCAGGTGAGGCCACAAGGGAGAAGATGCCCATGTCCAAGCCAAAGACAGAGGCTGAAGGAGAAAACAACCTGCTGGCAGCCTGACCTTGGACTTCCAGCCTCCAGCACTTGTAAGAAAATAAGTGTCTATTGCTGTTTAAGCTCCTGGCGCATCTGTGGTACTTTGTTATGCGGCACGAGCAGACTGATACACTCTGTCTGATTTCAAACATTCCCTTGTTCCTCTTCCCTGAGGGTCACTCACGCTTCCCAGCTGGTTGGCCTTGATATTTGGTTCAGAGCATGTGGCACAGCCGGCTTGGAGAAGGATGTGCTCAGAATTGAGGGAAGACGGGCACAGACCAAGTCAGCTCGGGCCCGGGCACGGGGACTGTGGCGGGTAGGCCCCTCCCTGCCCCCTCATCAATTGTTTCCTCTACTCAACTTCCCAGGGTCCTTTCTGGAAAACCTCCCCTCGTGGACAGCTGCTGTTTCTGTCTGTGCTGCACGCTTCCTTCCTTCCTCAGATTTACCTTGACTTCCCCTTTGGAAACTACCTGTCCATGTGGTTTGGCTGGCAGTGACCGCACCCAAGGCCTTATTGGCTGGACCTGGTCCATCAGAGCCACAGTGACTAGTTCAGAGATGTGACCCGATGTGGGTTCAAGAGCCAGGCCTGGGACCTGCACTGGAGCTTTTGGGAAGAAAAATCCATTTTCTGAGGGAGGCATAAAGCCAGTGTCTCAATTCTGTGTCAGTTATATGGAGAGCCCACCTCAGAAGGGTCCCAGGACAAATGAAGGCAGAGACGAGAGGGAGGAAGTGGAGGAGAGAGAAGGGGGGGGGGCGGGGAGGAGGGGCCAAGAGTCCCATGACAGCCCTGGTCTCCTCCGTTCACCAAGCCAATCTAGTCCCTTTTGCTGAAGCCAGTATGCATTAGCCAGTTGGCATGCGGACCCTGTTATACTTCCTACAATGCACAGGCTAGTCCCCCCAAACGAGCTGCCAGACACCTGCCGTTTGGGATTTCGGGGTCATCTGTAGGCCTCTCGGAGCCTTTGTGTCTCGCGATCAGCAGACAGACCAGATGGACATACCTCCCTGGCCTGCGAGACGGTCTGCCCAAGACCGAACTCCTGACGCCCTGCTGGAAATACAAGTCCTGCTCTTAGGCTCAGAGCCACGAAAGGCAAAGAAATGCCACATAAGGCAGAGCTCACTTTTGGAAGCTGGGTTAAATTCCAGCACCACGAGGGGGTCTGGGCCCCGGGGAGGGCGTCCTTCCATCTCCTGGTCCTTGGGAACGTCCTTCTGCACCGCGTCCCCACTGGAAGGGGCGGGGTCATCTCTGCGGTGGCCCCCCAGCACCTGCTCTTCGGGCTCTGGCTCCGAGAGCACATCTTCTTCGATAGAGTCATATTCATCGCTGGAACAATCTTTTTGTTTCCTTTGTAGATTTACACTAAGTTCCAGGCTTTTTCTTAGCTCCTGCCAAAAGTCAAGAAGAGAGGCAAAAAATGAAATATGTTACTTTGAGAAGAACTCATCTGAAAATGGATCATTAGAACCGAGGGACTATTCCCAGCAAACGAACATTTACCAAAATCATCTTGACACACGTGTTGTCATCGCTCGGAAGATATGAAAGGGACAAACGAGTCACTCTCCAGCAGGGCGGTAATTACAGTATGAATTGTGGTCACACGCCTGGGATGTCACTAAGATTGTACGTGTGTGTGCGCGGGTGTCCGTCACAAGTGTTTTGGTTTGGGGCTCCTGTAAACAGACTGTGGGGTCCCACCTCCCCCCACATCAGCGTCTCCGATTCGGTGGGTCCTGGATGAGGCCCGAGAAGATGCGCTTCTAACGAGGTGATGTTAATGCTGCTGGTCCAGGGACCACACTTTGAATATGAAATCCCAAAGGCCTCCAAATGATCCTGAAATTCCAGACAGTAAAGTGTCTGGCAGAGAGTTGTGGGGGGGCTATCCTATGTACTGAAGGATGTTTATTTATTTATTTATTTTTTTATTTTTTTTTTTCAACGTTTATTTATTTTTGGGACAGAGAGAGACAGAGCATGAACGGGGGAGGGGCAGAGAGAGAGGGAGACACAGAATCGGAAGCAGGCTCCAGGCTCTGAGCCATCAGCCCAGAGCCCGACGCGGGGCTCGAACTCACGGAGCGCGAGATCGTGACCTGGCTGAAGTCGGACGCTTAACCGACTGCGCCACCCAGGCGCCCCAAAAATTTTAAACTCGACTCTCTGGGCAAACCAGTGGGTCTGGTCAGCCCAGCTATACTACCGGCATAGCTCGTGTTATCGAACATAGCTCTGAGAAAACGAGAAGCAATCAGTATGCTTGCCGTATATGTGTGATTGGCCAGTAAAACTTACTAGCGGCTGTGATGTGCCGAGTGACGACTCCTCAAAGATGTCCACGTCCTAATAACCCCAGGACCCTGTGAGTCAGTGATAGCTCGTGAAGAGTGGAGAGGCACTAGAATACTTTGACCATCTTAGATAAACCACTGTAAAAAGACCCGACAGCAGAAATATGATGGACACCAAACGTGCTGCTTGTGGGGACTCAGGAAATAAGGAGCATGTTATGGAAACTAGGGGAGGGGGAGTCCCATGACGTAGCGGCAGGATCTTAGCCGAACTGTGTCTACGGCTACGTGAGAAGCGGTGCGTGGACCTGAGATTTGATGATGTGGGCAACTCTCAGCCTTTCTAGGTTGCAAAGGATGCTAAAATGAGGAGATTCACGGTCAGAAAAACACGCTCGGGAGAGAAGCCTGAGCATGGCTGGACAACCTTTTGCTAGTTACTGGAAAAGGATCCAAAGTTTGGGGTATTCAATCATGCTGAGGGTTCTCTCGAGACATGGGACTCATGGATCCTTGGAGACATCTCAGCAGAAGCCAGGAATAGAGGGAAATTCTCCAGGAAAGATCTGTGAAGCAACCTCTTGTCTAATGGAGGGAACCCTAGAGACGTACAGAGACCATATGGTTTTTGAGAATGGCATACCAGTGCAAACACTGGCAGCCGGTACCAAACGGAAGAGAGGAAGGACGCAATACAAGAAGGCTTCCCACTCTCCAAATTCTACGGTCAGGAAGCATGAGGCTCTGTGCTGACAGTGTGGAGCCTGCTTGGGATTCGCTTTCTCCCTCTCTCTCTCTCTGCGCCTCCCCTGCTCGTGTTCTCTCTCTCTCAAATAAAAATAAATAAAATTAAAAAAAAAAAAAAAACCAGATCACTATGGCTCTTGGGTACCGAGTGGAATTTGAGAGGTGGGGCCAGGATGGAAACAGGGCACACAGGTACAGCAGCAGTGGGGGAAGGCGGAGGTGGCTGCGGAGGTGGGGACAGCAGGTGCATTTGGAGACGCGTTTTGGAGGCAGAGATGACAAACGATGGGCTAGAAATGAACAGGGTATGTACACCCTTTGACCAAATCTCTCTGAGAATTATCCCTCGGTCCTAATATACGAAGGTCATGGAGGGATCCTTGATAATAGAGAATGACCTTGAGGGATCCTTGACAATAGAGAAGGATCTCAGTGTGCAACGAGAAGACGTAGTGGCGTCGAGTGGCACCAACGGAGCCTTGAGCAGCCACCACAGAAAACGAGGTAGCTCTCGCGCCCTTACTCAGAAAGATAGGAAGACATACGTTTAAGCAAAACCAAGCATGTCAAAAGATGCACACGTAGGATACGTCCAGTTGAAAAAAAATCGTTTCTGTGCATGTGTGCAAATATGCCTACAAACAGTCTGGGAAAACAGGGGCGCCCGGGTGGCTCCGTCGGTTGAGCGCCCGACCTCGGCTCAGCTCACGATCTCGCGGTTTGTGAGTTCGAGCCCCGCGTCAGGCTCTGGGCCGACAGCTCGGAGCCTGGAGCCTGTTTTGGATTCTGTGTCTCCCTCTCTCTCTCTCTGCCCCTTCCTCTGTCCACGCTCTGTCTCTCTCTCTCAAAAATTAAAAAAAAATCATAAAAAAGTCTGGAAAAATAGTCACCAAATTACTAACAGTGTTCTCTCTGGGGGTGGCATTATGGGAACTTTCTTCTCCATTTTGTTTTACTTTTTTTTAATGTTTATTTATTTATTTTTGAGAGAGAGAGTCTGAACAGGGGAGGGGCAGAGAGAGAGGGAGAGAGAGAATCCCAAGCAGGTTCCACACTTAGCGCAGAGCGCAACACAGGGGCTCAAACCCATGACCGTGAGATCACGACCTGAACCGAAATCAAGAGTTGGATGCTCAACCG